AAGGGAACAATCGCTGCAAATTTGGAGAGGACTGCAAGTTTATTCATTCCAATGATGATGTGGTGCTGTCATCGTATTGGTGCAAATACTATGTGGCTGGAAGACACTGTTACGCTGGAGAGGACTGCAAGTTCTCCCATGATGCAACTGGTGTAAGGTGTATCCAGTTTGCTCGGTCTGGAAAATGCCGTCATGGGGACAGGTGTGTCTTTGAACATGGTGATCCGCTGGATGAACGGAGGCCAAGGTCTCCAAGGACGCCCCCAAGGGATGGTCCGCGGAGGAGTGGTAAAAAGGAACTTTCTCCGGAACGGTATGATGAAGATGAAGAGGATTTCATGGGGTACGACGACGATACCCGGATGATGGAATTGCTGATGGAGGCGATTTCCTTTCTGTCAGATGGCAAATCTGATTTGGCCCGCGCGGAGGCGGATCCGGTGTTTAAGCTGATAAAGTTCAATGGAGACACTGACCAGAGAGACACAGAATGGTGTTCGTGGACTACTGGCACTCTGCATTAGAACTTCACGAGATAGTGAAGTCTCATGAGATTCCACTGGTGGAGGTTGAAGAGTGGATCGATGAGTTGAGGATATGGTTCCAGCGAGCCAATATGGAAGAGGAGAGAGATCCAAAAAAGGGCAAAAAGAGGTCCCTAGAAAGGGAGTCCAGTAAGGATGATCCTGCCAGAGAGACGGAGGTTGTCGTTGAGGAAGAGGTGAAGGTGGCCAAAAAGAAGAGAAAAACTGCTGCAGTTGAGGATCCATACACTCTTTTGGTTCCAAAGCCGAAGAAGATGCCGGCTAACATTGAAAAGGGTGGATCAGCATCCAATGCGGTGGTATCTGGAAGGGAAAAGGCCTCTTCGAGAATGCGCACCAAGGCAAGCGTCTCAGGAAAGATGAAGAAGAAAGAGAAAAGTCAAAGTCCCAAAAAGGAAGAAGTGGTCGTGGTGGCAGGTCCGGATGAGAAGAACCGTCCTTCTGAAGTGGAGGCACAGTCATCTACCACTGTGAATGCAGATCTGGGACAGTCCTGCCAAGCTATTGAGGATGCGAAAAGAGAGGGGTTGATATCCTCAATTCAGAGGGGCATACAAGATCCTGTTCTTACAGTGTCGGACCTGGAGCATGTTTTGCTGCGACTTCACCTGAGTATCGCTGGCCATCGGAAGGAAAAGAAGGGATGACTGGATGGTATCGATGAGGGAATGGGTTCTTTCTCTTTCTGGAGACACGTGCGCTGGAACAGCCAATGTGCTGGAAGTATAGTGGTTACTATTAAGGGTATGGAAATCCCTGATAGTAGAGAGTGTACAGCTTTTCGCGTAGCGAAGACCACGGTTCGTGGTGAAGAAGGCTCAGAGTCTTCAATGACAAGAGAATCATGGTGGTAAAAAAGATTCTCTATGGTGAAGGGTGTTTAGCCAATGTGCTATAATTTCGTCCTGGATGACGTAAAACCACAGTTTGCATTTCAAGCAGCTGGCTGCTGCCTTAATGGCAGTTTTTGGCCAAAGGTCTGCACCTCCAGTTGTGTCCTAGGAAATCCTAGGACAGGGGGAGTGCGGAGCTGCAGTTTGTATTGAAGAAAAGAGTTGGTGTAGAAGGATTAAGGGTCAATGAACCCGGAACAATTTTTGGCTCAAGATCGGGCCATGCGCCTAGAGAAGAAAGGGTGCTTGGTGTTTTGGGTTGGTTTGTTGTTTGTCGATTCAGGGGATCAAGGGCTTCTGTTGGGGTTGACTGTCTTGTTCCCTGTCCTCCTTCGGTTGCCCCCCGTACCCTAAACCCTCAAGCCCCCCGTAACTTGAAATTATAAAGAACAATCCAAAGAACGAACTCCTCGAACATTCCCCGGACCTGAACCCTTAATAATTTCAATAAACCCTGAACCTCTTTCATGGGGCTTGGGGCCCTGGAGGGCTCCGAGGAGAGGATTCAAGCGGCTTGGCGGTTGCACGGCTGTGCGGAAGTGCCAGTGCCCGGCGTTCTGCCCGCGAAACCCGAAACCCAAGACACCCCAAAGCCTACACCAAGCCCCCCCCCCCCCTCCCCCGAAACCCGAAACCCTAAACCCTAAACCCTGAACCCTGAACCCTGAACCCTGAACCCTAAACCCTAAACCCTAAACCCTGAACCCTACAGCGCCGAGCAGCTGCAGCGGCTCCACGTACTCGGTTGGCAAGCCCAGCTGCTTTGCGGCCCATGCGCCTAGGAGAGGCGGCGCAAGGGGGAGGTGCTGCTTCGCATGAGACCCTGGGATGCTCAGGGCTGCTGGGTTTGGGGTTTGGGGTCTAGGGTTTAGGGTTTAGGGTTTGGGGTTTGGGGTTTGGGGTTTGGGGTTTAGGGTTTGGGGTTTGGGGTTTGGGGGTTTAAGAGTTTAGGGTAGGCTCACTCCACGTGCTCAAGGCATTGTACGAAGGCCTGAGCAATCCAATGAAAACGAGGCTGTAAACAAGAAGAACCCTAACCCCTAAACCCTAAACCCTAAACCCTAAATCCTAAACCCTAAACCCTAAACCCTAAACCCTAAACCCTAAACCCTAAACCCTAAACCCTATACAGACGCTCGCCAAGTTGCGGATGGCATTGAGCGTCGAATCTTCCTGGTCAGGGTTGAGGGTTCAGGGTTGGGCATTTGCCAGCACCCCCCAACTACCCTTTAACCATAATAGTAGGGTAGGCAGGCCCCCTTCATTAAAGGGCAGTTGGGGGGGGGGGGGGTTCAGGGTTTGGGGTTTGGGGTTTAGGGTTCAGAGTCTGCGAGAAGCGGTTCAGGCAGGAGCGCTTGTCCTCGTGATGCGGCAAGTTGAAAGTCGCGGTGGCCTCGCCAGAGAAGTTGGGCAACAGCACATGGATCAACACCGCCAGCCCGGATCCCTACGAACCGCATACCTGGCATACCCCAGATACCTAAGTAGCCCCTAAATAATCCTTAAAGAACCCCTATGGACCCCTATAAGGGCCCTTCTAGTCCCTTGATCAGAAGTCTCTTAAACCTGGATGTTGGCAAGGCCAAGACACCGAAGTTCGCACGTGCTGCAGCGGCTGCTGAGACGTGGCCGAACTGACCACCGTGGAGTTCTGCCAAAGAGCCTGCTTTTCAAAGGGACCCAAGGAGAGGGACCCTAGAATAAGGGACCTTGGGGGCTCTTTAGGGTTTAGGGCTTAGGGCTTAGGGTTTAGGGTTTAGGGTTTAGGGTTTAGGGGTTATTTCGGGGCTACTTGAACATATAGGGACTCTGGGTTCAAACGCGACAGACTTGCCATGAACTGTGTGGCTCTACACGCTGCCACCCTGAAGCCGCAACCCCTGAGCGAACGCCTCCCACAAGGCCCCTACACCCTGAGACCCTAAACCCCTAGATAACCCTAAAACCCTACAACCCTAAAACCCGAAGACCCTCAAACCCTAAACCCTAAAACCCAAAAACCCCCCCGGCTCCCACAAGCCTCCTCGTTGGCCTTCTGAATGAGTGAGGCGCAGACGTCGGGTGGAAGCGCCTTGTGCATCAGCAGCCTCAAGAAGGGCCAATGGCTTGAAAGTCCACGAATGTAGGGTTTAGGGCTTAGGGTTTAGGGTTTAGGGTTTAGGGTGTAGGGTGTAGGGTGTAGGGTGTAGGGTTTAGGGTTTAGGGTTTAGGGCTTAGGGCTTAGGGTTTAGGGTTTAGGGTTTAGGGTTTAGGGTTTAGGGTTTAGGGTTTAGGGTTTAGGGTTTAGGGTTTAGGGTTTAGGGTTTAGGGTTTTGGGTTTAGGGGGGGGAACCCCCACCAAACAAACATCAGAACCACCCCATGCTTTCTTCTCACCCCAAGCGATTCCCCTTTGAAGCCCCGAAGAGTCCCTAAACCCTAGACCCTAAACCCTAGACCCTAAACCCTAAAGCCCTAAAGCCTAAACCCTAAACCCTAAACCCTAAAGCCCTAAAGCCCTAAAGCCTAAACCCTAAACCCTAAAGCCCTAAAGCCCTAAAGCCTAAACCCTAAACCCTAAACCCTAAAGCCCTAAAGCCCTAAACCCTAAACCCTAAAGCCCTAAACCCTAAACCCACCAAATCCAGCAGAGGCACAGTGGGTAAGGCTCCAAGGCCACGGTGGTGATGGCGCCCCTCAGCTACTTCGCAGGTTCACGGATACCTATGATTGGGTTAGGGTTTGCGGTTTAGGGTTTAGGGTTTCGGGTTTAGGGTTTAGGGTTTAGGGTGTCGGGTTTCGGGTTTAGGGTTGAGGTGCTTGGTAGCTAGACAGTTTTAGCTGGTCAGAACCTTAGTAGGGTTACTTCTAACCCTACTTGCACACCTGGTCATAACCTGACGAGGGTTGCTTACAACCTTGCTTGCAACGACCCATGAACTCTTTGCCGGCGGGGCGAGCCCAGGGCTGAGTTTAGGGTTCAGGGTTCAGGGTTCAGGGTTCAGGGTTCAGGGTTTAGGGTTTAGGGTTTAGGGTTTAGGGTTTTGGGTTTAGGGTTTAGGGTTTAGGGGTTGAAGGTTGAGGGTTGAGGGTTTAGGGTTCAGGGATTCCGAGCTGTGTGTAGGGATTAGGAACTCCCATTCCTAACCAAGTACCTGCACCATGTGCCGCGTCGACTGAGGCTCTGGGAGGGTTTAGGGCTTAAAAAGCTTAGGATTTAGGGTTTGTTTGACTCTCTCAAAAACGGAAGCAAGAGGACACGGCAATTTCAATGATAAACATCCCTACTTATTGAACCAAGCCGGCACATGACTCGATCAGCTAGGGCGCAGGTGGGACGCAGGCATGCCTTCGTGCTCTTGATGACCTCTACACTTCTCTCCGGAAGGCTTTTGTTCGCTTGCTGGCTGCCGGGGACATTGTCACATTGGGTAAGGATCAGCATCACGCTTTGCTGCAAATGGGTGCAAGCTGGTGCAAACAACACGGAGTCAGTTGATGCGGCTACCAGCCGTTCATCACTGTGCCTGCTCTGCGCCATGCACGCAGCCACAAAAGGTGCAGTAGCCATTGCGCAAAGAGATTACGCAAGAACCCCAAGGGGCTCCCCAATGAGGGAAGGCTCTTCCGACAGAGCTAACCCCGAAACGCTGTCAGTATTTGCTGCCATTACCATGAAGCCATTGGCAATCACTGTGCCTGCGCCAGTCTCGACTTCGTACACGCAGCTGCTGCAAGAAGAGGTCAGACTCTGGACGGCAGAGGTTTGGCGCGCATCGCCCATGACGAGCTTCTCACCGGCACAGAGGTCTCCAGCGCAAACAGTCACCAACCTCCCACCACGCTGCGCCACTAGCTTGTGATTTCGTGTCACTGACATCGACTTGGAGCCGTGCTGCCCGGCGACAGTGCAGCAGACCAGCTCATGATCATGTCCCGAATGCGCCACAACAGCATGCACGTCGGTCCACACTGCCTCCAGGTTTGCATCCAGGGTCAGCACAGAATCACCAACTCGCAGGTCTGCCACCTCGACCAACTCAGCCTTTCCATGGGCAATCCGATTGACAGTGGTGTGAGGCGGAAAGCAGGCTGTGGTACCGAGGATCTTTGTGACTGTCCAACCACCCCTCATGAAGCGAGCTTGCGTCATCAACTTGCCGGCCGACTGTGCCCACCTCTGGCCATTCTTCGCAGCAGCGGCAACTTGTGCTATAGTTCCTGCCGCTGCATGTTCACCCATCTTTGCCATAAGAAGCTGCGCGGACTTGCCAAGCAAGTACTTGCCTGCATAGTCGGCCACCAACATCGTGCCCATAGACGCGGCCAGGCCAGCAAGACCCCCAACACATTCCATGGCAACCCGCTTTGAACGCTTTGCATCCCTTTTCCTCGGGTGCCTGAGAAATGCAGCACTCGTAGCAAAGGCAGCGAGCAAGGCATGCCCAGAACGGGCAGCATGGGTGCCCTTGCTGCGCCTTCGCATTGAGGCTGCTGCCGCAGGGTTTGAAGGAAGTGTAGATGCCACTGAGCAGATGCGCGACGCAGGCACCACAGCAAAGCCCACACCGCGGGTTGACATCACTGACATCACCCAGATGAAGATGCACATGGCAACTGGAGCGGGCACGCCCATCGCGGATCAAGAGGCCGAGGTCCTTCCTACAACACAGCAAGTCTTGTGAAGCTCAAGGGTCACTGAACTTGAGATGGAAGGCTGGGAGCATGCGTGGCCGCTGTTCCCTACCACACGCAACAACTTGTTAAGTTAGCATGTTCTTCGCTCTGGTCAAGACTGGTTCAAGCCCCGTCGATTAAGTCGATCAAGTCGCATATTCAGAATATTTGATGCTTTCTGGTGACATCTGAAGGGGTGAACCAGGCTTGTGGGCTTCTGGTCGCCCGAAAAAACCCCCCCCCCTCAAAAAAAAAAAACTAAAACCCTAAACCCTAAACCCTAAAGCCCTAAACCCTGAACCCTAAACCCTGAGCCCTAAAGACCTCAAGCCCTAAACCCTGAACCCTAAACCCTAAACCCTAAACCGTAAACCCTAAACCCTAAACCCTAAACCCCCCTTGAATGGCTCCAATGATCCGGGAGGCTCCGGCTGAGTCGCGGCAAAGCCTTTCAGCCTCACCGACGCAAAGCAGGGTTCCGGGGCTTCAAGGCGTTTGAGGGCTTTTTTGGGGGGTTTAGGGTTTTTAGGGGTTTAGGGTTTAGGGTTTAGGGTTTAGGGTTTAGGGTTTAGGGTTTAGGGCTTTTTGGGGTTTAGGGTTTTTAGGGGTTTAGGGTCTAGGGCTTGGGGTTTCAGGTTTAGGGGTCTCGGGGTTTAGGGTTTTGGGGTTTGGGGTTTAGGCCAGGTCGTTCTCGCGACACAAAGCCAGCGGGGCACACGCGGGTTTGGGGGTTAGGGGTTTTGTGCTTGGGGATTTGGGGATTTTGGGGGTTCATTGTTTGGGGGGGGTCAGGGTATAGGCGTGGTATACGGGTTTTCAGGTTTAGGGGTTTTGGGAAGTTAAGCGTGCAGGGTTTCGGGTTTAGGGAGCATCGAGTCAGAGAGACGAGACGGAGCACTAGCACATGTGTAAGTGGATAGGTGAGTGAACCCCACTAAACCCTAAACTCTAAATCCCTAAATCCTAAACCCTAAACCCTAAGCCCTAAGCCCTAAGCCCTAAGCCCTACACCCCTAAGCAGGCCTTGCCCAGAGGCCCTGCGCCAGCTGCCTGTCCACGTTGTGCTGCGCTGGGCCGAAAACACCGGAGGGGTCGAAGCCTCGGGGGCAGCCGACTGCAATAGTTTGAGGTCCCTAAACCCTAAACCCTAAACCCTAAACCCTAAACCCGAAACTCGAAACCCGAAACCCTAAACCCCAAAACCGAAATCTTTGTACCGGCTTGGCTCCCGAAGATCCGAAGAGCCAAGACACCTAGGTTGCCGCAGGCCCAGCTGAACACGGACCTCTCCTGAACAGGGGGAGAGTTCAAGGTGCAGGGATTAGGGTTTCGGGTTTAGGGTTTAGGGTTTAGGGTTTAGGGTTTCGGGTTTAGGGTTTAGGGTGAAGGCAGCGTTTGGTCTTTGCCAGGGTGTGGGAGCCTCAACTCGACGTCTGTCACTTCGGCTCCTGCTCATTCGCCCGCGGCCTCACAGCATGCATCTTGCCTTAGGCGCGCCCGAGGCATGAGTTACCGACAGGGGGTTTGGGGGTTTATATGGGGTTTACGACATCGGGTATAGGGTTTAGGGGTTAGGGTTCAGGGTTTAGGGTTTAGGGTTTAGGGTTTAGGGTATACCTGAACAGGTTTGGAGTTTAGGGTTTAGGGTTTAGGGTTTAGGGACAAACCCCAACACCCACATGATCGCCCCCCTCCCTCCCCCACACCCGCAAAGCCCTGAAGCCCTAAACCGTAAACCCCAAACCCCTCAAAGCCCGAGAGGCTTTGCAGCATCCGGAAGACCTCGGCACGGGCATAGCCTTGGCATCGGATGGCGGTTCTTAGGTAGAGTTTAGGGTTTCGGGTTTTGGGTTCAGGGTTTAGGGTTTAGGGTTGATAGGGTTTAGGACTTTTAGGGTTTAGGGTTTCGGGTTTAGGGTTTAGGGTTCAGGGTTCTAGGGCTTCGGATGCTTTGCCATCTGAATCTCAGCCCAGCGCGGACTTCCGAGAAGGACCAAGCCAGCTCCTCTGCTAAGCCGGAGATGAGCAGGTCTCTCCCGTCAAGCAAACCCCTAAACCCTGAACCCTGAACCCTAAACCCTAAACCCTAAACCCTGAACCCTGAACCCTAAACCCTAAACCCTACACCCCAAACTCTGAACCGTTAGGGCTTCCTGTGGAGAAAGAAAACCCCTGGGCTGGAAAAGCCCTTAAGCCCAAACCCTGAACCCTACTTGAGGGTGTAGACCCTAGACCCTAAACCTTACACCAGCTGCAGTTGTGATGCTGACACCAAAACGGCCTACACTCTGAGCCCTATACGGTGAGTGCCAACATCGGTGACAAGAGCCCTGGCTAGCTTCTTGGGGTAGGGTTTAGGGTTAGGGTTTAGGGTTCACGGTTTGGGGTTTAGTTTAGGGTTTTGTTTATAGAGATAATGCAGACATCAACAACGATACTGATAATTGTTGCAAGAACAAACCACAAAAAGCACGAGCAGCCACTAGAAAGAACCGTACCCAGGACCCTAAACCCGAAAACTCTAAACACTGAAAACCCTGAAGCCCGAAAATCCTGACACCCTGAAACCTTGAAGCCTAACACCCTGAAACCTTGAAGCTGTAAAAGCCTAGACCGAAACCCCGCCCTAAAAACCCTAAGCCCTACACCCTAAAACCCAAAAAGGTCAACCCTACACCCTAAACCCCAAAACCCTCAACACCCTGAAACCCAAAAACCCTCAACGCTACCCCCTGAAACCCTAAACCCCAAACCAAGAACCCTAAACCCTGAATCCTAAATCCTAAACCCTAAACCCCAAACCCCAAACCCTGAAACCCTAAACCCCTACCGTGAAGCCAGAGCGTCCGCGAGCGCCCGCGGGTTGAATCCGTCCGGTCCTGGAGCGCGCTTTGCCAGCAAGGTTGAGGGTTTAGGGGGTTTAGGGTTTAGGGCTTAGGGTTTAGGATTTAGGGTTTAGGGTTTAGGGTTTAGGGTTTAGGGTTTAGGGTTTAGGGTTTAGGGTATACGGTGTAGGGTGTAGGGTGTTAGGGTTCAGGGTTTTGGGTTTGGGGTTTGGGGTTTAGGGTTTAAGGGTTTTTTAGGGTTTAGGGCTTAGGATTTCGGGTTTAGGGTTTAGAGTTTAGGGTTCACGGGTTTAGGTTTAGGGTTGAGGGTTGTTGTGGGTCTTTGGGGTTTAGGGTTTTGGGGTTTAAGGCGTTCGGAGCTCTAAGACGTTGGGTCTGGCCTTTCGGGGTTCAGGGTTGAGGGTTGAGGGTTTAGGGCTTAGGGCTTAGGGTTTAGGATTTTGGGTTTAGGGTTGAAAGCCTTAAGCAAGCTTCTACGGCTCTGGGGTTGTAAGGTGTTGTGGTCGCAGGGAACTGTAGTTGCAGTTGGTGTCAATCTGGCAATCCTATGTGGGCTTCTTCTAACCCTACTTACCCCTCAACCCTCAACCCTCAACCCTCAACCCTAAACCCTAAACCCTAAACCCTCAACCCTAAACCCTAAACCCTAAACCCTAAACCCTACGTACCCCTGAACCTTCCAGCAAGGGCACCAAAGGGGGTACAAGAGGCCTTCGGCTGATAAGCGCAGGATGCAGACTTTCAAACTGGGGGTGTAAAGGCAACTTCGGGCTTGTTGGGCCTAAGGTTTGAAATTTAAGGGTTAGTTTGTTGGGTTTTAAGGGCTTAGAACTTAGGATGTTTGGGGCTTAAGATTTAAGATTTAAGGGCTTGGGGTTTGTTTGGTGTTAAGAGTCAAGAGCTTTGGTTTTGCTTGGCATAAGGCGTAGTGGTTTAGAAACTTGTTGTCTGGGACTTTTGCTCAGGGGTTCAGGGGTTCAGAGCTTCGGGCTTAGGGCTGTAGGGGCTTACAGGTTTAGGGGTTCAAGGCTTACAGGTGTCGAAAGCAAGCTTCGTCTCTGAACTAAAAGGTTGGGGTGAAGTTAGGGTTTAGGGTTTAGGGCTTAGGGTTTAGGGTTTAGGGTTTAGGGTTTAGGGTTCAGGGTTCAGGGTTCAGGGTTCAGGGTTCAGGGTTCAGGGTTCAGGGTTTAGGGTCCAGGTTTTCGGGTTCAGGGTCCAGAGATTGGGCTTCTTGGAGATTTAGAGATCTTTTTAGGGCTTAGGGCTCTGGGCTCCCAGTCCGCGCCTGCCGCAATCCGATTGCCGAGTTCCTGCACTTCAGCTAAGCCCTAAACCCTAAGCCCTAAGCCCTAAACCCTAAACCTTAAACCCTAAACCCTAAACCCTAAACCCTAAACCCTAAACGCACAGCGGGGTTTGATGGCGTGGAGCTTACAGGGCTATAGGGTAAAAGGGTCCTAGGATGGCCCCTAAAACCCTCTGAAAAAATATTCCTAAGTATGCTCCATTAAAACCCAAGATTAGGGTTTAGGGTTTAGGGTTTCGGGTTTAGGGTTTAGGGTTTAGGGTTTAGGGTTTAGGGTTTAGGCTTTAGGGTTTAGGGTTTAGGGTTTAGGGTTTAGGGTCTAGGAATGTGTCCATTTCAGGGCTTAGGGGCCAGCAGGTCACAAAAGCTGGTGACAGGAAACCCAAGCAAAAGTAAGGGTAGCGGTCCCTGACTATGGGCCCTGCATTTCGGGACACCTTTATGTGCCCCTTTGCTCTTCGGGCCTGCCAGGCGGATCCTTCCCGCAGCCCGGAGTAAACCTGATGGTTGGGCGAGGTGATTCTGCCACTTCGTTTAGTAGGGGGCCCGAAGCCTGGGCCCGGAGTTTGGGCCCTGTATTATATAACTCTTACACACACTGTACACCATAAGGGCCCATGCTTCAAGTCCCCTTGTAAGGGACCACACTAAGGGCCCATGTTTCCAACTTAGGTCAGGGGTGGTAGAGCTACCGAAGCGCGCCCGGAAGCTGTAATGATTCGAGGCTGAGCTGCTTTGAGTTTGAGGGCCCACGGATCACAGCATCAAAAGTCCGTTTTCTTGTGTTGTATCCTCCCTGGGGACCCT